GAAGCTGCTTCAAATGATCCGAGGAACCCGTCATTTCCGGATTGCGAGACATTTCTGGGACACCCTGTAGACTGTTGTAAATCGATGTGAAGACAAAAGAAGTGTGAAACAATGCATATGAAGACGATTATTTGGTCCAAACGATGAGCGAGTGAGCTACTAGAGCAAGCCACTATAGTGGCGCGTCGTCCAGAGAGATGACATCCGCGAAAGCCACTATAGTGGCGTGTCGTTCTGAAAGATGACATCCGCGAATACCGCTATAGTGGCGCGTCGTGCCTAAAAGGTTAAGAAACAACTAGTACTCGGAACGTTTGTTTAACTTTTCTTACAATAAATGAAGCTTGCAGGCATAGTCGGCGTGGTAATGTCGGTGTGGACCCTCACCGACGAAAGGATAATGTCCCGATTGATTGGACACCGGATTTTCCTGGTCGCTTTACTATTCGTCGGTCTCGTTGGCTCCCTCACATCATTACTTGGGATAATTAGTCTTGTTCGAAAACGAAAGATGTACCTGAAGACTGTTAGTTCGACTATACTGTCGTTGAACAAAAATATTTTAACACGTTACCGACCAGTGATTAATTAATATTTTCTTTAAAATTTCGATGCGTTATACAACAAATTGTGCACAAGAAATGGACAATTTGAGAAAAGGAGATACGATTATTCGAGCCTTGCGGCTCGTTTTTGAAGTTGTTGGTAATTGATAAATATAATAATCTAATATAATATAATAATCTAATTTAATCCAATATAATATAATATAATATAATATAATATAATATAATATAATATAATATAATATAATATAATATAATATAATATAATAATAATCTAATCGCGGTAACAACCACGAGATTCGAATAATCGTATCTCCTCTCCCCAAATTGTCCATTTCTGTTTCCAAGCTAATCGTCAATTAAGGAGAATTTACTATACTGCCTCAGAAATCGGTAGGTAACGTGTAACTAATCAACCTGTAATAATTAGTATAGAACGTTATTCTATTTCCAGTACGCGATTCTATGCTTGTGCTTCCTCTGCATCATTTTCGTGACCGCTGTATCGAGCTTTTGGATCTTCGAAGAAATTCTGAAGAACGTACAGGCAGACATGATCACCGCCATGAAAAATTACGATTCCTTGTCGTCGAACAGAAGGTCTTGGGACAGCACCCACAGATACGTGAGAGACCGTATTAAAATGATTCTTTCGTCTTACGTTGTTCCTGCCGCATCGTACGCTCCAAATGTTAATCGATATTTGTATTTCAGTTGAAGTGCTGCGGGATCAAGTCCTCGAACGACTGGGCCAATTATCAGATCAGTATCCCCAAGAGCTGTTGCGCCAAAGCCATTGAACAAGTAATTAATTTTATTCAGTGTCGTCTGTCACTGGCTTGGCGAATTTATGGATTTTTTGTGAACGAGTGCAGATGTCTGTAGCCTCGTTAATCAGATTCCTTTTAAACGCGATTTCATATTAATGCTTTCAGTGTTTAAGCATGACGGAAGCCGTAGCGTTCAAGGTCGGCTGTCTTCGGAACGCTGCGCTTTTGCTGAAGTCGCACGTTCATGCCATAAGCATAACGGCTCTGCTGATTTTTCTGATCCTGGTGAGTCGATGAAAATTATTTAACACTGCTATATTGTTTTATTATAGTATTATTTAATTTTATTATATTTTATATATTATAAGCATAACAGCTCTGCTGATTTTTTTGATCCTGGCGAGTCGATGAAAATTATTTAACACTGAGTTCGGTTTATATTTATATTGTTTTATATGTTATTATTTAATTTTATTATTTTATATATTATAAGCATAACAGCTCTGCTGATTTTTCTGATCCTGGTGAGTCGATGAGAATTATTTAACACTGCGTTCGGTTTATATTTATATTATTTTACTCACGAATTATTGAAAGAAAGCGAAAGAGAAGACGAATTAAAAAGCTCGCTATAAGGACGAAGGATATAATCCGTGGTTTTTCACAATTTTACTATCGTTCTTCCCGAACAAACAATAATCCGAGCGACGATTAATCATTGTCTTTCAGGTAATGAATTTCTCATTCGCCCTCTGCATCCTGTGCCGATTGAAGGAACGCCGATCCAACAGATGAAAATCATCCTACTTGTTCGGCGAATAATAATGAAGCAGAACAACTCTATAATCGCAATGTAACAATTATAGAGGCCGAGGGCGAAGGATCGATACGCGCGAGGATCGAGAAGAGAGAATAAGAAACTGCCCGATGAAACGTTTTCCCGTTTTTATTATCATATATAGATCATATATTTTCTGAAAACACTTAATATATTGTACTTATGATAGTAATATTGTAAGTTTATTGGACATGCTGGTTGGGTGGCGACACGGTGTGCGCCTGTCATGGCGGCGATTTAAAGAGTTCCACGTATTTCTTTCACGATCTCGTTTCTCCTGCTTTCGTTTCCTTTTTGTTTTCATACTTTTTCTTTCTTTTTTTTTTGCTTAAAACTCTTTCGAGAGCTTCCGCGACGATCGCGGACGATCCGTGGATCGTCGTGAACGCCGCGGGAGAAAAAAAGTACATCTATAAAAAATTATCTCTCTGGCCATCGGTGCTCCGTTGTCCTCGAAAGTGTTCCCGAAACGAGTCCTTTCTTTGGCTTTTTTTGCATTTTTTTCGTGAAATCGATGAATATAGAGTGGGTGGGGTTCGGGGGGGGGGGTGAGAGGGCAGAGTCCCGACAACATGACGTACTCCCAATTCGTTCGTTGCGAGACGACAAAAATGTATTGACATCGTTAATAATAACTCGTTGAACGCGATACAGATCTGTCTTTATCTCTCCTAGTCGCCCAGATACCCTGAGTACCTGTGCTTGCACCTGCTCGTCCACGAATTCCCCGCAAATTAATCGTTCCCTTGTATACATATACATGTGTACATATACATACATATAAGATCCGCCTGTCCACTTGCGTGTGCATTCGCGTTCCTCTGTACTAAATCGATCGATCGATCGTCCTAATCTACGACGATGCCCTCGCCGCTTTTGATCGTTGAAAATAATGTCTGTCGACTAGAATCATTGATTTTTTTCTCGTTAAAGATGTACATACTGTGATTTTATGCGTTTCTGATAGATCAATAGCTCAGGCGAATATTTATTTTCGTAAAATTAGCGAATAAAAATTAATTTCTCTTCGGTGCATCTTTGCAACGACGATGACCGAAAAGTGAAACGTCCCTTGTAAGAGCTGATTTGAGATGAACCGAGTGAAAAGTATTGTAATTATTATTAAAATAATTATTATATTAATATTAATAATAATTATATATTATATTATATATTATATATTAATAATAATTATATATTATATTATATTAATAAAATAATTGTTATTATTATCAATGATTAATCATTTGCACGCTGTAGGACTGTGCAACATAAACGATTTAGCAATCTCCGCGACAGGGAAAGGGTTAATTGTGTTGGTCGATCATGATTTCTCATCGGAATAATTCTTTACTCCATCGAAAGCGACGTGGACACAGTCGAAACGAGCGAGACCATAGTTTTCCAACTTTCTATTAGATTGCAACCCCGTTTAAAAAGCATTTTGGTACACCATCTCTGTGATCCAAACTCCAATGCGGAAGATTTGCATGGGATTTTCGAATTCTAGAAAGTTAGCTCGAAGGAAAGACGCGAAGTACATAATTAGTAAAGTGAAATGCAACAGTTCTCCGGTTGGAAAACTATGAATTGGACATATTCGGCGATCCGATTTACACAGCACACGCGTGTCAAGTGTTGTGTGTTTGTGCGTGAGCACAGGGAGACATAGATATAGAGGACAGGGCTTGGGCGCAGTCTCAGGCAGGTTTCCATCCAATTACAGATATATTATATCATAGCAAACATCGTGACTATTTACAATAAATACAGTCGATTAGATTATATAAATAAAATATATCGTATCGTTAGTTTAGGTTTACAGCAACACGTGACAGTAAACAATTAGATCAGCGGCAAAGTAGCGTTTAATCTACTTAGGGGTAGTGGTCATAGTAGCTGCAGCATGACTTGACTCTTCTGCCATTCATACACTCTCTTCTCTCTCTCTCTCTCTCTCTCTCTCTCTCATTCTCTCTCGCACTCTTAATTTTTGTTATTTTTCTCTTTAGTATATCACTCTCTCTCTCTTTCTCTCTCCCCCCTCTTTCTCTCTCTCTCTCTCACTCTCCAACCGAAAGTTCAGTTCTGTTCTGAATATCGACAACGAGATTCGCTTCGCGAGAATTGAGTGCCTCACAATTATCATCTTCATCGTCTACACCATAGTCATCACCATCACAAACATCATCAGCATCATCATCATTAACATCATCACCATCATCATTATCATCATCATCATCATCATCATCATCACGTGGTCCGACGGATTCAGCTAGCTTCCGGCCATACATAATTTCTCTTTTTCGCATTAATAATACGATCCACGTCTGTAATCGCAGTAATAATTAATTAATGATCGTAATAATAATCGTAATAATAATAATAATAATAGTAATAAAAATAATAATAATAATAATAGTAATAATAATAGTCGGTTTACTCCTTCGATTTCTACCCCGTTAATTCCAGAAGTATTTATATTTATATATATATATATATTTATATGTATATATATATATTTATATTCATATTTATATTTAATCGCGACCCCCCTACCCCCGCGCGGTCGACGACAAAACATTGTCGGGGAACAAGTGTAAAAAGTTTCCTCGTCGATATCCTGCGAAAAACGAGACGAGAACTTCACGGAAGTTAGAGAGCGAATATCGTCGCGATTACTCCAATTTTCCATTATCTTTCCATTGTTCTCCCCGATCATTTTTCCTCCATTGTGTGTGTTTTTCTCTAGATTTACGCACACGTAGAACTCGAAGAACAAGCTTCTCGCGACCCTGCACACCATTTTTTTGTTTTCCGAGTACATAATTATCCACCGTGAACCGCGTAGGCTCTCTCTCTCTCTCTCTCTCTCTCTCTCGCTCTCTCTATATATCTCTTTCACGCACATAAACACAGTCACGCGATCTCTCATTCTCTCCCTCTCGCTCTCCCACATTTAATAATTTGACACTCGATGCTTACTATCGCGTTTTAAAAAATAGTCGATTCTTTGAACGCCGTTTACCGATCCGCGTTGGTAAATTACATAGATATATACGGTTACAGATACGAAGAAACGGGGCGAGGAGGGTGTGTGGTTTCTCAAGGG